CACATGCTATTTTACTGATCAATGCTCACTTCTGCTCAAGACAAAATCATTCATCCCCAGTGAATGCTCACTTTTGCTCAAGACACAAGCATTGATCCCTAGTGAAGGCGTACTCTCGCCCAGACAGAATCCCTTATCTCTTGTGAAAGCATGCTCTTATATAATCCTCACTGAAGTCAACACTCTTGATAAGAATTTGCTTAAGATTTTGTCCCTTCCATAGGGCTTATCTCCAAAGAAGTGCATTTCAGCACAACTCTGTAAAAGCTCCTTCTTCAGTGCAGTCTACTCTTTTGTTAGAATATGGGAATGATTGTTTCATTGGACTGGATACCTTTGTTATATCCCCTTGAAGTTGATACCCTACATCTCCGTGGTTATAATTTATCTCCCTAGTGAGGTTGTCGTTCGTCGTCCTCACATAGTTCGTATCTTTTCTCCCCAGGGAAGTTCTCCCCTATCAGGTTTTTCTTGAAGAGATGTTTGATCAGCATGCTTATTATGCCCCAGTGGAGTAAGTCTCCTGTTTTTGGGAGCGGTGTGCATAGATGAATGTTGTATAGGACTCTTTTATCCCCAGTGATAGAGTATTGCTAAAGTATTTCCTCAGTGGAGTTCTGAACCTCAAGCTTATGGTTCAAAGATGCTCTCCTCTTCCCTAAGTGAAGACTGTTACCCCCCAGCGATAGTGTCCCCAGTGTAGTCTGGGTAGAATTCTTTTTATTTAATAATTTCTATGATTTCCTAGTCGAAGTCACTTTTATTTGAAGACTTACATTAGAAGGTCCCAGTTTCCGACAAGGTTCTCTTTATCCATGGAAAAAGATGTTGGATCTGTTCCCCAGGAAGTTAAAAGTTTGATTAGAGTTCAAGAGTTTCTCTAAACTGAAATTTATTTTTGCAGTATTTCCCCCAGGAAGTTATTTCCCCAGTGATATAAATCTTCAGAGGTCGGTGGTTCCGAATATCATTTCCCCATTTAATTTTAGAGGGATTCTTCTCTACATAAGTTCAGATGGGTAAAGATAATCGTTCAGAAGTTCATGGTCTTCTCAGCAACCGATTATTGATGTGTTTTCCCGAGTGCATTGCTAAACATGCATCATTATATTTCATCTACCAAAACGCGTAGCATTTCCATTATATGGAGCATTACACTATAAAAAATTCAAACATGCATTAAGGTTTAAGCTAGTTATGTTCACCTGTGGTAACCGATTTGTTATGTGCTCAAATTTGAATTATCTCCATAGCAAGCTTAGGGTGGTCCTATTCTATTTCCCCAGCGGAGTATACTTTGATTCACCACTAGTCGGGTCTTTGGTGCTTTCCATTTCCCAGTGAGTCGTGGTTTTTCTCTTGCCTTTGCAATCCCTTGGTTATTTTCGCCCGGGTTTGCCTTTCCTTTTGAGTGCAACTAAGAGTCGGTGTATAACCTCTCTTATTTCTCGAGTATTTGCGTATCCATGCTTGGTGTGTGGTAATTCATATAATTGTCACTCTTGAAGAATTAGACTCCGCTTATGGCTTAAGGGATATTATAGTTCTTGCGCATTTTCAACCTATCAAAAGCCCAACATGTTTTGGCAATCTGTGTTAGAGTCCCCGTCGGTTGGTCTCTTTCTCTTGTAGAGTTCACCTTCGATCGATGCTCTCTAAAGGCCCTGCTTAGTCAGTTCTTTGTCTGAGTATCTGCGCTAGTCGGGTTCTCCTTCTGTTAGCTTAGCTAACCCTCTCGGTTAAGATTCCTTCATTGTCTCTTCAAAATCCAGTTGTCTGACATCCTTGGTTAGGCGAATGCATCCTTTCTTGTGGGGGCTTTCTTCGGTTAGTCTTTTTCTTGTGTTCGTTGTCAGTTCCGAACATTTGTTTCTTGATGCCCAATTTCGTTTTTGTGTGTCTATTTGTATCCCCAGTAAGTTTGCCTTCGATTGGTGTTTCTTCGTTAGAGCCTTCTTCAGTCGGTCTCTTTCTTATATGTGTCTAACTCTGACCAGACATGCATATCTTTATCCTCTGTCGATTTGTTACTGGAATATCTTTTTTAGAATACAATGTTCAGGTATTTTGAGGAGTATAGCTGTTACTAGTCCTCCCCTATCGAGTTGTTACTCATTTGCCTTGTTGTTGTTAGCTTCGCCCTAGCGCAACGTTGTGGTTTGGTAGATATCATTCCTACAAAGGTCAAGTTTGCTACTTGTCACCTAGTTTTTTAGTGCAGCGTTCTGGCATTCATTTTGAATTTGTTGAGTCTAGTCATTATTAGGTTCTACCAAGGTAGATTAATACTTGTCTTGTTTCATCTCTGTAATTCCTTGGTTAGGGTCAGTCGTTACTACTTCTTCCGGGTTCGAGATCATCAGGTGTTCACCTTGTTTTGTGGATTCAATTGTTATTGGTATCTTAAGGAGTACTCATCAAGGTCTAGTCGTTACTAGTTCCTTTCAAAGAAGGATTCGTTACTCTTGGTTTTGGTTTGTGATCCAGGTTGACACATTCTTCGAAGTATTCCTAAGGTTGAGTCGTTACTCGTACCTTCACTTAGTCCCCCAGCGTTGTGATTAACGTACCAATGGGTTTTGGTTCAGAAAGGAATTGTTCAAGTTTGATCGAGACCAGTTGTTACTAGTATTTTGAGGAGTCTAGTCGTTACTAGTCTTCCTTGTATGGTCGTTATTCTTTCTTAGAATGCAGTATTCTGGAATTCTATGAAGTCTAGTTGTTACTAGCACCTTTTGGTCCGTACTTTTTTTTTGGAATGCAGCGTTTTGGCATTCTGTAAAGTCTAATTGTTACTAGCATATTTCGGTCTTTACCATATTTCTCATAATGCAGCGTTCTAGCATTCGGTGGAGTCGAGTTGTTACTCACGTACTTTGTCTCAGAGTGCAACGTTTTGGCGTTCTGTGACGTCTAGTCATTACTAGTGTTTTTGGATCAAGTTTCACGATCTTTGATCCTTAACTCCCATCTATATTTGTTTCTTTGGTCCAGTGCCAAGAGACCATCAAAATTATGCCATGTGTTAATATACGTCGTCTCAAATTCAGAGTGAAAATTTTTTAGTTCATTTTTTGTATTCAAACTCCTTCCACCTTATCGCTCGAAAGGCGTCTGCCAATATCACTCTCTGGTTAAAGAAGTTTGAATAGGGGCAGCTGTTGTACCTCAAAATTTTCCCTCTCAATTTTTTTTATCTGGCTTAGGCTGAGCATCGCATTCATATCTTTTCATTAGGTCATTAACCTATCATTTGCATAGCATACATGTATTCACAAAAGCACTTGAGGTTCAAAGTTCAGTGGTCGTGCAATATTAGGGTTTTACATTGGTTAAGGCGTTAGTATCCAATAAAGGCCGATTTCTTCTTCAAGCAATGAGTAGTGGAATTAGGTTTGTTAGTTGTGGTCGTTAAGAATTTCTTCTTCGTCAAGCTATGAGGCCATTATCCACCAAGTTTCATCAGTTCTAGAGATTAAGGTTTATTTCCCTATGTATCGCATGAAATTAGGGTTTTATCACAGGGGTGTCTTTCTATGCTTCCGGTTTCATTTGAGCCAAAGGATTTCCTCAAGGGTTTTTAGCTTTTCATTTTCAAAACAAGGTGATTGGGGATCAAATTACTAAAGCTTTGAGCCATGGCACGAGATATGAAGTTATGAGTTCATTCTTGATCAAGGCAATCTCGTCGTTATTAGTTGAAATAAGATTGAAGTTAGGAGTTCATTGAGAATGCAAGTGTTCGAAAGTGGTTGATTGGATCAAAGTTGGTAAAGAGCCTTAAGTATTGGTCATGTGTATTACAAAGATGTTCATCGTTATTCAAGATTCAAGTTCATATGAATTGAAAGTTTGTTCAAACCCTTTCATTCATGATTCAAGCAAATGCTATCCAATTCCATTCAATTTCATTCAAGTGTAACAATACCTTACAATAAAATTTGATGCTTTCGTGGCTTCAAGCATTTTTTTACCATAATCCCTTTAATGTTCAAGTTTCAAGACTTTGTCATTTAAACTCCATCCATAAATTTCATCACCCGACATTTCAAGCTTAAGTCAAATTCCTTTTTGTTCATTCGCCAAAAAAAGGCAAAGTTCATCATTATCAAAAACTCATGTTCATTACACATTTCATTCAAAAGAAAGACTAAACATTCAAGAGGTTACCACATTCAAAGTCTATTACAAGTTGTATCCAAAATACATTCTAAAGGCTATTACAAATAGTGATGCAATGTTTAAAGAACATGTGAAAGTTGTCTTCATGATTGTGATTATCTTTTCTCCAAGCTTCCATGGTTCCAAAAGGTGCATCGCCACTGTCAACAAACCTTAAGCTGTGTAATGAACCGGATGTCCTGTACAACCAAGCAAGCTCACATGAAATCCTGCTCTATCCTAGATATAATGTTTAAACTTCTTCCCCGTGTATTCATGCCAAGCTTCAACATATCGCAAGCTAACGTACTAGCTGCCTTATGAACAAAAATTAATCAGTGCCATCACAGGATTAAGAGCAAACGAATTGCTGCCCTGCACCATAACTTTAAGCAAATTCAAAACCAGCTTTCAATACCTGCATCAATTAATTCATAAGCCAATACATCATAATGCCCGATTTATTAATAGGAACCGATGTTTTTTTTAACTCATTTATTTGTAAAAAATCGGAGGATATACAAAAACCCGGAATTACCGGTTCACTAGTATTTGTGTAACAGAAAAGCAGAGAAAATCAGAAGAGAAATATATCAGTTCAGCCGCATTTGTTCAATAAAAAAAATAGAAACTAACAGGAGAGCTCATAACAGAATTTGATAAGTAATAACTAACTTTCAAATTCAAATAACCACCTCATAACAGAACCATATCAGAATTCCTAATAGTTCTAACCAACTTCAAAAACCACCCTAACTGAAATAACGGCAAATAAATTAACTCTCAATCCCATCATTTATTTCATCACAACCTCTATTCAATCCACGACTTAGATTCATTTAGGTATAACTAACTTTCAGATCTAACAGAAGGGATATAACAGAAAACTCACCAGATTTTTTTATCCTCGAATTCTGCAGAAGAATCTTTAACCTTCTCTCTGCTCGTCTCACGAGCATTCTAGACCTCGGTAGAAGAATCATAACATAATCTAAAACAATTCTCATTGTTACTTGGCACTTTATCTGCATTCAGGTTCCATTTTCACCATTTTCCTTCACTTTCATCCTTCATCTTAACCTCTTGAGTCTCTCTCTTCAATCTCCAATCTTCATCTCTGCATAACGAGTCAATAACACCTTCATCAATTATGTTGCAATGTTCTTCAATGCCAAGAACAAACTCGTCGTAACCGCTCCGTATTCATCAACCTTCTCCATCAAGCATACGTGCAGAAGCGAATTGTGCATCCTTAGCTTTTGCAACAACGTACGCGATTCAGAAACCAAGAGATACAAGAAGGCTCAGAATTACGACTTTGCGGAATTGCAGAAGAAGAGTAAAAGCGAAAAAGATGAAAGAGATACAAACCTGATTAAAAATTGAAGAAGCACCAGATTATTCTCCGGAAGGTAAACTTTGAAGCTTCAATTCTCGCATATTGATTTGTTCATGTTCATGTTAGCCATTGAAATCTGTGAGTAGAGAGATCGGGATTGAGTGAATACGAAGCTGAAGGAGATCAGCCACGAACAAGACAGGGAGATGATGAGTCCGCGAACGAATTGAGAGTTGAGGAAGGTCGAATCGAATGAGAGGAAGAGATGAAAGGAGGAGGAGATGGTGGTGTATGAATTTGACACGGCGGTGCCTGAGTGTGTACGCTGTGAAGTAGAGATGAGATGACAGGGAGGACGAAACAGAGCGTTGCATCGAGTGGAAGGTTGAGACGAATCAGAAGAAGGTTGAGACAGAGGTTTAGATGTTTGAAAGAAGAGAGTGAGATGGAGAAGGTTCCGTCGTGTTGATCAGAGTTATGCTGCGCCACTGTGTTGAGGAAGAAGAGAGATCTGTTTTTTTACGATGAAAGTTCAAAAGGCACAAATGCTTAACCTAGAGCCCTAAATGCGCCGTTTCATATTGGCTGTACATTTTCTTTTGTTTTTTTTATATAATAACTGAACAATAAAGTAGATGGGACTCATGTTGTTTTTTACAGAAACCCTTAAGCCCACTGGCGTTTTTGATTGAAGCCAGCAAGCCTTGTTACAAAAAAGCTGGTTGGACCTGTTGTCGTTGGGCCTAGCGCCCTACTGTTGGCCACACCCTAGTCCAGATTTCAGCATTCCTCGGGCTGGACCGCTTTTCTATAATTTTTATTGATAAAATTATACAATAAAAATAATATGATAGAATTTTTCTAAGATTTCTTTTTTAGAATTTTGATTAGAATTTTCTATTATCTATTATGTTTAGTAATCATTTTGTTGTCAAGGGTTTGTGACTTACTTTTGCTTGTTGAGATTTGAGTCTTACGCGGGATATGCAGATGTGCTTGAGATTTTGATTGTGATTTATTTTCACATCGACGATATTTTGACGCTTATTTCAGGCATTTGATTTCTGACTCTTTTTTTGATTTGTGAAGCTTACTCAAAGTTTTTCGGGTTTCTTTGTTTTTGCTCGCACTACTACGAACTTTTGTTTGTTTGGTATTTTCTCTCTTTTACCTCATTTTAGCATTTACCGCTTTTTAGAGATCATGTATAGTTGGGGAATTTATCGCTTTCTAGAAATCATGTGAAGTAGCAAGCATGAAATGAAGAGCGTGCACTCGAAGTCGCTGTTTAAAGTCCTGTAGCAGGCACCGCTTTCTGTATGTTATTTGTGTTTGTTTAAAACCCTACCTTTGAAGTAGGTATTTTGCACGTGTGTTTACATTTGTGTCTGCATTATATTACAGATGATAAATCCTCAAAAGAAGGCAAGCGGGAAGGGTCCATAATCGACCCCCACACATTTTAGTCTATGACATCCTTAGCTCACGTTGTACGTCGATGCTTCGAAGTTGTGCAAATCATGTTAATCGAGTCGATCATGTGGGGAAGGGTTCGCAATCAACCCCCGTACTTTGTCAGGAGTTCACAATGGCCATTGTTGATACTTTGCTACCCACTTGTTTGCTTTGGGTGATACGCTCCCCTTAGCTAAAGCATTGCTTTTCTTTTTTATTTCATTTGTCTTCCGCTTATTTTCTTTAAGTGATACGCTCCTCTTAGCTAAAGCATTTCTCTTGTTTCTCCCATCCCTTTGAGTCAGTATATGCTACTCATGTTTGTGTGCTTTTTCCAAAACACTTGTTTGCTTATTTGTTTGCTATATCTTACTTCCCTTAGGATCGTCCGATTAGAGTAGGTTTCAAGCTAGATATTAGGATATGTATCCATGCATGCTAACATAGGGTAGAGATCTCCCTTTTCATCCTCGACCGTATGATCAATCATTGTATGATAACATTAGGGATAGAATTATGATTGTCTCCCTTAGTTGTTTTTCTTTATTTGGCATCCTTGTATTAAGACTAAAACTTTTTCTTAAAAAATGCATTAAATATCTAACAATTTTCAAATCCTTCTTTAAGGTAAAAGATATCAACCAATTCAAATATTTTTCTCACCTGTGGACATTTCATTAACTTTAAAAAGGATATGTTACTTCCACTCTATGCAATACAACGCGTAATTCCCCAAAGGTCAGGTTGCACCATGTCTACTTGCTAAGAGTCGCGAACATAACATCATCCGCCTTCGGGCCCTTTTTCTTTTGAAAGAACCTGTTTAGGTGAGATCATGTTATTTCCTTTCCACTACAGACGCGGGAGTCTCCAATGGTCGAGCAGCAGTTGAATGATTGAATTTAGCATTGTTCATTAAAAAACACAAACAAACCAAAACATGTGAGCTGAACTACGGCTGCTCTGATTCCTTAAAAGGGATACGTATGCATTGGGGTAGGGCCCGAGCGAGCACAAATTTATTTTCCCTACATTATTTTCTCTTTTCTTTTGCATGCATTCCCTATTTTAATTTTTCTTTTTAGCTCTTAAGAATTAGTTTTGAACACACCCTTTGATTAGAACCACAGGAGTGGATACCGTAGAGTACTACAGGCGTGTGGGGTGCTAATACCTTCCCCTCGCGTAACAGACTCCCTTACCCGTATCTCTTGGTCATTTGACCTTGATTTCACCCTTCTCAGGTTTAGTCGATGTTTACCTTTCCCTTCCTGTGGGATAAAAAACATTTGATGACGACTTTATTGATTTCATCTCGATGATTTTTTCAACTGGTTGTTTCACCTACAATCCTAAATAAGCAATCCCTACGAGCGATCTGCTAGGAGGCTAGGCCTACAGGAAACCTATAGGGGATTAAGATCTACGGGCGACCTACAATCCTAAAGAAGCGAGACCTATGGGTGATCTGCTAAGGGAATTAGGCCTATGGACGACCGGTAATTCTAAGAAGGTGAGAACCTTGATTATGACATAATGACTGAAGATACGAGGACGACCAAGAATATTGATTTTGTTGGGAGTGAAGAGAAAGATAGACACAGAGGAGTGTCTTAAAAGCTAGCGTAGACAAGTGTTTGGACAACTGACATGAACGAGTGTTTGGAAAACTAACACGGACAAGTGTTTGGGAGTACAAAGTACTGGCACTGTTAACTAGGTATTGTGATGTAATGAAAGATGTTGCTGGGGACTTTGGAGTGATATCCTCTTGTGGGGATGTGTTACTGTTTTGAATGATTCAGATCTTTTGTGTAAGGTACCCGATTTGGCTTAAGCTTCGTATGCATGTTTGAATTTTGTATGGCATAATGATCCATTTTAATGGATATGCTACGTGTTTTGAGGATGCAATGCAATGCAGCAATAATTACTATATGCAAAGTGAAGAGAAATAAACTTTGTGGAGACAAGAACAAGCTTATCAAGAATCGTTGCTTGTTGTCTTGAAATACCAATACAGACTGGTGTTGCTGAGGAATGGAGATCAAAAATCTCAGTAACTCCGCTAGGGATAATGAAAGATTATCTGGGGAATGGTTGTAGTCTTGCTGAGGAAGAAGTGATCTGATCTGATTTCTCTACATCCTCGATTTCTTAGAGATGGTAGAATGGATACGAACATGTTGGGGAATGGATACGAACACCACACCATATGGATCTCTTTGAATGCCCTGAGTCTACTTCATGTTGGAGAAATACATCTTTGAACCGCTTGGGAATTAGGAGATGGACATGGATCTCTTCGACTGCCCCAGGTTTGCTTCTCTGCTGGAGATTAGGTGATGATCATCTATGGGGATTTCATGTTGAACCATATATAACTCTCAATGACCCCAAGTTTACTCTACTAGAGAATTGCACATACACATGTTAAACTGCACGGAGCCTCTGAGTTCCCCCAAGTTACATTGTTCTTGGGGAACCATGCTGAACATGCATGTTGAGTAGCATGAAGCCTCTGAGTATCCCAGTTTACACTGTTTCCGGGGAGTATACCTGGGATGTCTGCAGGGAACGAGGAAGACTCTTGTGATGCTGGCTGGGTCAAGGTGACTATCATGATGCTTTTAGCTCGATTTCTTTGGTAGTTACCTTGCAGGATAAAACTTCCTTGAGTAACTTCGCAAGTATGGATGAGGAACGCCCCTGTATGTAGGATCTTTGAAAGAATATGTATTGAATAGAAGACGAAAATATTCTTGCCGCAACACGATATGAGGTAACCTTTCCCATTGTCTTGGACCATGAAATAGACTGTCTTTGATTACAGATTTCTTGGAGAGATTTGTCGAACCTCGGCGTGATTTCCATAGGTTAAATGAATTCTGAAATATTAGTCGACATGATCACCCCTGATTTGAAGCTCGAAGAGATTTATCGACGTGATTTCTCCTGATTTAGCAACTTGAACAGATTTGTCGACGTGATTGCCCCAAGTTGACTGAATTCTTACTCAACAAAGTATCCACATGCTTCTTCCCCTTTGGATAATCAGATTATGATACTTTACTTCTGTTTAACAAAATACTAACATTGAAAATAACTGCCCCTGCTCAACGGAGTCTTAGATGACAACATGTAACGCCCCATTTAAATATTTAGTCATTATTGGTTGAATTTGAATTGTTTTGCTATTTTTATGGTGAAAACTTAGTTTTGGGTGAATTATTTGTAATAATGGAATTGAGGGCTAATACTATTATTATTAATATTATAGTTATTATTAATACTATATTATTATTATTATTATTATTATTATTATTATTATTATTGGTTAAGTATTAGTAATAATAAAATACAATAGAATAGGGTTAGACCAATTGGGAGAAAACTAATGTCACGTAGAAACAAAGAAGAGAAGAGAAGAGAGAACTGTGACAAGGGAAAATTCTCCATTGTTGAAGCATCAAAGCTGCAAATTAAGGTAAGGAGGTGAATGGGTTCTCTAAATTTGTGATATTAACATGAGAGGGCAGTGAGGGTTCCTTTCCCTCTTTAGGTTTTTCATGAATGAATTGATGAATGTCTTCTTAGTTTGACTTCTGTGATCCTATGTGATTTTGTGTGAAATTCGTGATCCAATATATGCAATGAACATGTTGTTGTTGTTGGTCTTTGGGGTTGTTGTGTTATTCATAAATCCCCAAATCTGAAAATTACAGATCTAAGAATTGTTACGAAATTGAAGGATTAGATGTAAAAATTATGGTAGCTCGTAGGATAATGAAATTAGATGTAGAATCCATGTTATTAGGTGTAAAAACACTATTTTGGACCCAAAGTCAGAGGCTGGAAGGACTCAAAACGAATAGAAAACGAACTGATATGATTGCAGAAAAAATTATGGATCTGACTGGTCATACACGTATGGGGGGCATCCCAGAGGGCCAAATGCGTATGGAACGTTCCCTGTCCCCAGTGCCAGCATGACCTTATGTTGGTACACATATGTTATGTGTGTGGAGAGAGGCCAAACGCGTATGGGGGGGTCATACGCATATGGAAAGTCTGGGAAAGGTATGATGTCGCATGTTGCATAGTGATGAGGGCTTATTCCCTGTTGTTGTCTTGTAAATAATGTTGTGATGAGGGGTTATGCCTTGTTGTTGCCCAAAATTGGCACAATGTCGGGGGCTTAGGCCCTGATGGTACCACATACATTGAGTTGATGTCAGTCCCATTTCATTGCATTATTTTGAGTGTATGATGTGTTATGTGAATGATGGATAATGTTGTGAAGTATTGTGAAGTGTGTGAATTATGTGAATACTACTCCTTAGCGTGTGGTATTTATCGTATATTTATTGAATTAAATTCTCACCCCTTTTGTGTTATTATGTATGTGCTCCCCTGGGAGTACAGATAATCAGGTACCCGTGTAATGCTTGTAGTGAGTGTTACATGATCGAGTTCTAGGAGTCTCTCTGATACATAACGCGAGAATTGAGAATCTTTGTTATGCTTTGCATTATTTCATTTGTTACGTATATTCCATTTTACTTATGTTGGACCACACATTTATGGAGTTTCCTTTGTTGTTGAAGCTGTAATGACATGGAACTGAACTTTTTATTATTCTGCTGTCGAATTGATTATGTTTGAGTAAAAGAAGTAATAAAGTGACTTTATACTTTATGAGTTTTTAAATTATTTGACATCTCATTTGAGGACCCTGATATATATATATATATATATATATATATATATATATATATATATATATATATATATATATATATTTCGTACATTTTATTATAGTTATTATTAGGGGAAATTGGGGTGTTACAATTGGTATCAGAGTCTGGTTGGTCCGGCCGGCCAGATTGTCGAGTCTGTAGTATAGTATGACAGTTAACTACTGTCAATGTGTTTCTTTCTAACCTTGTTTGATGTTATGATGTTAAATAGAGTAATGGCCGGAAGAAACAATGTTGCACTTGATGCTGCTTTCCAGGCCTTGGTCCAGGCTATGCAACATCAGCCTAATGCCATCGTGAATGATGGATATTGTGTTTTGGAGATGTTCCTGAGGAACCATCCACCTACGTTCAAAAGGAATCACGATCCTGAAGAAATGCAGGAGTGGCTGAAAGAAATTGAAAGGATCTTTCGAGTTATGGACTGCTCTAAGGCTCCGAGAATAAGGTTTGGTACACATATGCTGGCGGGAGAGGCTGATGACTGGTGGGTTGCCACTCGTCTGAGACTGGATGGTGTAGGTGGGGCTAATACTTGGGATGTATTTTTCAAAGAGTTCCTGATGAAGTACTATGCGGAAGACGTTCGTGGGAAGAAAGAAATTGAATTCCTAGAACTGAAACAGGGAGAATTCTTAGTGACTGAATATGCTACCAAGTTCGTGGAAATGGAAAACTATTATCCTCATTACAGCGAGGCGACTGCTGAATTTTCTAAGTGCATCAAGTTTGAAAATGGGTTGCGCTCAGAGATCAAAAAGGCAACCGGGTATCAACAGATCCATAAATTTTCAAACTTGGTGAATAGCTGCAAAATTTATGAAGAGGATAGTAAGGCTCACTACAAAGCCATGAATAATAAGAGAGGCAAGAAACAACAAAATCGTAGGAAGCCTTACAATGCTCCAAATGAAAAAGGAAAACAGAAGGTTGCTGATGGTAGAAGGACTAGTGGGGGAGGTGCTTTTTTTACATTGTGTGTTACAGGTGTGGGAAGCCAGGTCATCAAAGTAATGCATGTACTGGAGAAGTGAAGAGGTGTTTTTGTTGTGGTAAGGCTGAGCATGAGGTAGCTAACTGTAGACACAAGGCGGTGATATGTTTCAACTGTGGTGAGGAAGGACACATCAATACTCAGTGCCAGAAACCAAAGAAAGCTCGGAATGGTGGGAAATTTTTTGCTTTAGCTGGAACTCAAACATCCAGTGGAGACCGTTTGATTAGAGGTATTTGCTTCATTAATATTAATCCTTTAATTACTATTATTGATACTAGTGCTACTCATTATTTTATTGTTGTTGACTGTGTGAAAAAGTTTGGTCTCATGTTATCTTCTATGAATGGAGAGATGGTTGTCGATACTCCAACTAAGGGATCAGTGACTACTTCTCTTGTATGTTCAAAGTGTCATTTGTCGATCTTTGACAAAGACTTTGTTGTGGGTTTAATGGCCTACCGTTGAGCGGTTTAGACGTGATTTTAGGTATGAACTAGCCGGAATACAATTATGTTCGTATTAACTGTTACAACAAATCTATGCGGTTTTCTACTCCTGATCAGGAAGGCGAAGTTGGATTCTTATCTGCTAGGCAGTTGAATAAATTGATGCAAGATGAAGCTCCGGTGTTTTCTTTGATGGTGTCCTTATATATTGAGAATCAGGCTGCTATTGATGAGTTACAGGTGGTGCGTGAATTTCCTGAAGTTTTCCCAGATGATATTACAGATGTGCCGCCAGAGAGAGAGAGAAGTGGAGTTTTCTATTGATCTTGTTTCGGGTACCAAACCTGTTTATATGGCACCCTATCAAATGTCAACGTTTGAATTGGCAGAATTGAAGAAACAACTAGAAGACTTACTTGATAAGAAATTTGCTAGACCAAGTATATCACCTTGGGGAGCTCCGTTGTTGCTTGTAAAGAAGAAATATGCCAGTATGAGGTTGTGTGTTGATTATCAACAGTTAAATAAAGTAACAATAAAAAACAAGTATCCACTTCTAAGAATAGATGACTTGATGGATTAATTGGTGGGTGCTCATGTGTTTAGCAAGATTGACTTAAGATCGAGATATCACCAAATTCGAGTAAAGGATGGGGACATTCAGAAGATGGCTTTTAGGACATAGTATGGACATTATTAATATCTAGTGATGCCTTTCGGTGTTACTAACGCGCCGGGAGTGTTGATGGAGTATATGAATCGTATCTTCCACACTTATTTAGATAGGTTCATAGTAGTGTTCATTGAAGATATCTTAATATATTCCAAATCAGAAGAAGAGCATATCGAGCATTTGCAAATTGTATTGCAAGTGTTGAAAGAGAAGAAGCTATATGCAAAGTTGTCAAAGTGTGAGTTCTGGTTAGAGAAAGTTAGTTTTCTTGGTCATGTTATTTCAGGTGGGGGTATTGTTGTAGACCCATCCAAGGTAGATGCAGTGTTGCAGTGGGAGACTCCAAAGCCAGTTTCCGAAATTAGAAGCTTTTTGGGTTTGGCTGGTTATTATAGAAGATTTATTGAAGGTTTTCTAAGTTGGCACTTCTGTTGACTTAGCTGACTTATAAAGGTAAAGGATTTGTATGGGATATTCAGTGTGAATAAAGTGTTACTGAGCTAAAGAGAAGATTAACAAAGACTCCCATTTTGATATTACCTAATCCCGAAGAATCGTTTATTGTGTAATGTGATGCTTCAAAATTGGGTTTAGGTGGTGTTCTTATGAAGAATGATAAAGTGATGGCCTACGCATCTAGGCAATTGAGAATTCTGAAAGGAATTATCCTACTCACAATCTTGAATTATCTGCCGTGGTGCTTGTACTAAAGATTTGGAGGCATTACCTTTACGGCTCCAGATTTGA